GCGACGGTACCGTCGCAGGAGCAACAGCCATAGTTATTATTCCCTCTACGGTGAGTTTAGTCTATTGGTCCCGATCTAGTCTATTACTCCTGTACGTGATACACCCCCCGAGATCTCCACAGTATAATGCTGCGGGAACCTTACATGCCTGGTCACATATGCCTGCATATGCAGATAAACGCTTGACGTCAATGCCTGCATTGCTACACGTGTCGTGCAGGATAGATATCCTTTCATCGGTCTGATTACAATTTGATCAGTTTTACTTTAATTTTAGGGGACGACACATTAGAATCATGTAGGCAGGAGCCGCTAAGAACGGTTCTAGGAAATCGGTTGAATATTATGTGTTTAATTCCATTCCTGAAATGTAGCTGGCGCTGCAAGTAGGTAGTGCATGAGTGAACCAAATCCTTGAACCAAATCAAATGTTTTGTATTATATCATAGATATACCAACCAATATATATATATATTATTATATATCTATGATTATATCAAGAGCGTATAAAGAAGGTAGGCCTAGAGAGTATTCAAGTAGAAGGTATTCAAGAGCGTATATCCTTCTTTATACGCTCTTGATTATATGTATATATGTATGTAAATATTGTTATAGTTCAGTGGTGTTGACTTGAACCTGAACCTTTCATGACTTGAATCTGTTTGCATTCCTGTCATTTCTGTTTTTCTCGGTGAAAACAACACGTCGATGAGCAAAGGATCCAGAATCATGCATCGAGTGTTCGTGTACGGTACGCTCAAGCGCGACGAACCCAACTATTACGTGTTGCAGAAATGCGATTACGGACACGCAGAGTATGTCGGCAGGGCTGTAACATGCGACAAGTACCCGCTGGTCGTGGCAACACGTTACAACATTCCATTCCTGCTCAGCAAATGCGGCACGGGGAAGGTGAGTGAGTGGAGACGTGCAGGCCTAGCTTATCCTAGGAACGTGCCACTGTGGCTGATTGCCGATAGGGTCTATGTCCCCCAGGGTACTATCGGAAGGTTGGTAACCTGGGTATGGTTCGATATATCGGAACGTACCCTGGTACTATCTAATATGCCGGACCGTACCTCGCCTACTCCACTAACGAGTCTAGGGAGTTGCCTACGACTACTCCCCAACCCTAACCCTGACCCTAACCGTAACCATATCAGATAGTTACGAGGGTACGTTTCGATATATCGAATCGTACCCAGGGTAACCTCCGATAGTATCCTGGGGGACATAGGCCCTATGAGCGTTAATCTGCTATTTTATAGATCTAATATTTTCATTCATAATATATGCCTGTCAGAGTCTACACATGAACTAGTTAGTGTGAAACATTAGTTTTTTTAGCTCATCTGACGTAGTCAGATGCAGCTTTTAGAATCGCATGAGCGTGCGTGCGTGCGTGCGTGCGTCCGTGCGTCCGACGTCCGTCCGTCAACAGTTTGGCACAAATCTTCACCGCTCGACGTATGGTCACGATATTCTGGACGTCGGGGGGGGGGGACGTGAAAAGGACTTGGGATGACCAA